CAAATAACGTATTTTTTTCTTGATAACTATTTAAAGATAAATAAATAGTAAATACACACTGACGCGGATTTTTTTTACTAAATTATATAAATAATTTTGGGGTARCAAAATGATACTCTTGCYAYCCCATAAAAATGTTTGGGGTCACGACCGCTACCCCTCGCTACCCCATAGTTACGCCACTGGCCTTAAGAATTGATTTTGAAAGTATAGAGCCATTTGATTTCAGACCATTAGAGGCCCTCCACCAAATTTCAAAAAAATCTCCCAAATTTAGATCCTGTTTCTGAAGAGCTAAAGTAGCGATCTTCACAGGTTTCAAAGCATCAACCTAAATATTGYAACAATTAAATAATTTATATAAATATTAATGGAAACAAGAGATGCCCCAATTTATGATTTAAAAACAATTTTCCACATATTGAATTAGAATAAATATTATATAATTGGATTAAACAACTTACAATGCTTTGTAAACATTCCCATTCACTGTTTTGAAGTTTTAACTCCAAATTTGTTTCATCATATTTTTGACAAAACGATTTTAGCTCTAATAGTTTAAATAACATATTATATAATGAATTCCACCGTGTTTCATTATCCAGTATTGCTAATTTATACTCTTCCCTTGCCAACCAACAAGAATACTTAGGAGTTCTAAGTTTTTTTACAATCTATTTTACAAAATAAATTATGTAAATATTACAAAAAAAAAAAATGTTTTAATGTAAGTATTTATATTTAATTATCAACTATTCAATATTATTACTTACAACTCTAGCCCGTGAAATAGAATTCATAATTGGTGCAACTTTAAACCCTTGTAATACATACATAGCTGTAATGTGTGAACTGAACACCGCACACAAGATGTAATTGATACTGGGCTGAGAGCATTACAAACATTATTTTCAAAATGATCAATATTCATATCATCTGTATAAAAATAAAATAGTAATTTAACTATGAATATAATAATAAAATTAATTATCCATATTGAATTACCATTCGTTGGTTCTTCACTATTTTCAAGTTCTTCTTCGATATCTGTATATGAAAGCGGCTCTCCTTCATTAATGTAAACATCAGACTCATCATCATCAAAGCTATCATTATCGTCTTGTTCAATTTCAGTCATTTCACATATTTCTGATTTTTCATTTACTATTCTTACTAACTTCACCATATTTGCTGCGTTATCACAAGTTATTGTGTATATTTGTTCTTTTTTTATCGTATACGTTTCTAGTATTTCAAGAAGCTAAAATGGATTATAATTTAAACATTACCAAGTATAAAATACTTAAAACCTTTTAAATATTATATTTACCAATTTTTTTAAATTTTCTGATGTATGTTGTTCGTTAACCTCTACCATTCCTATTGTATACAAATATAATTCAGTGTCTTTAATGTATTGAATATTAACGCCCATATTAGAACGACTGTGTCGCTTCACACAGTCTATTTTTAAGCTAATTAACTGATTTTTCATATCAGACTTAATTTTATCAATTATTAGAGCCGAGGTTGATAAAATGTGGGATTTAATATTGTGTGAATCCTAAAATGGTTAACAAAAAATAATTATGTTAAGGATGAATTTTATAACATTATATTATAACTTCGATAAAAATTATATATTACCTTCACCAATAGCTTCAGTTAAAGGGTTTAAAATTTTCTTAAACCCAGAATCGTTAAATATTGTAAAAGAACGACCATTTACAGTAACAAGTTCTGTACAAGCTTTCAATAATGTACTCTTGTCCATCTYAATGTTTAAACTTCTTTTTATGACCATATTATCCATCGGACCACGTTTCTATAAAAGTATTTTTTTTATTAATTAGATATATTATTTAAAACATGCAAGTTTAATAATTACTATTATAAATATAGTTAATACCTACTTAATAGTAACACTTTAATAAATAGGCAGTCTAGTAAAATATACTTATATTGTATTTAAATACTGATTCAAATACATTCATTGTGAAAGTATTTAAAATACATTTCAAATATAAAAACTATAGACATTTAAGTATTTATTTCTAAATAACAGTGTTGTTAAGTATTTGAATACTTGTATTTAAATAATTTTTTTGTATTTCAAATAATTTTCGACCTATGTATTTTAAAAAGGTACTTAAAAATACTTTTTTTTTGGTATTCTAGAATACTAAATACTTTTTTCATTAAGTGTTCTACTCCAAATTTCTATTCTCAATATTTTGTAGGATTAAATCCTTTATAAATAAGTTTAAAAGCGAAAAATGTTAATTATATAGATAATGAAATAAATACTTCAATATTAAATGTAATTAACTAGGTAAAAAAAGTATTTGTATTTTTTTTATTCAAATACTTTTAAAAATTAAAAAGGTACAGTAGGTACATGCACTTATTACCTTTAATGATGGAAGTGCTACAATAGCGTCATCAATCGGACGTTTGTCTTTGAGATTATTTTCATTTTTCATGCTCTTCAAGACTTTATACTCTTCAACGTGGTTACATTTTATGTGCGTTTCGAGATTGTAACTATGGCGACCTTTTAGTATAGGTCGTCGACAATGTTGAATATTGCACGCCGATTCATCTTTTTGAATATTATAAGTAAAGTATAACTTACTTACAGGATTAGTTTGTTTTCTCCCCATTTTAATAAATTAATACTATAAGCAATGTAATGCTGTAGTAATATTAAATATAGCAAAGACAACGAGAGACGATAGTAAAATTAGTAATTACGGTATAAATATT